ATAATTTCTAACCTTTAGGAGAAATCATGTCATCAATCTTGGTTTTTCCTTTGTAAGAATATTTTTAAGAACATAATCAATTGTTTCTTGATAGCAATTTATGTCAAACTATATCAAGAAGAAGAGATTGAGAAATAAAGAGATGAAGAGATAAAAAGTTGGAGAAGGTAAATCAATTGCAATAATAAATAAAATAAATGTCTATTAAGAAGAAGTTGAATAGTCTAAGGGGTTAAACTTATCTTGAATGCTTATTAAAAAGTTGAATAATTTGRGAGGTTAAACTTAGTTGGATGCAAAATTAYCAAATGATCTCATCTATTATGAAATATACAATTTGCTTGTAGGGGCATAATAGTCTTTAACTTAATTAGTATTTTAAAAAACAAAAAAAAGAAGAAAAAAGATAAATAAGCTCCTAGCTTTTAGAAGAGGCCACATCATACATAGTGGTTTCTTCTTTAATATATATATAGATTTATATATTTAAAAGAAATCTCTTAATACTTATTTTTGGTGAAAGTAGCTTTTTACCAACCTCGATTGTTTTCTTTGCTGCAATCATTGATGATTAGGTAGAGGGTCCATTCATAAACCAATTAAATACATGTTAAAATCATTAAATATATCTCAGACTTCGTTTCGACTTTCAATTATTGGTTTCGTCTTAGAGGCTGTTTGATAATTGTTAAATGGTTCGGTGTGAAATGATTAAGTGATCAGAATGATTAAGAGACTCTCATGATATAGTGCAAAATGAAATATAAATGTTTGGTAATTATTTACAATAAAATCATGGCGCTTAATGGTTAAAGGAGGTATATGATACAAAATCATTCAGAGAGTTTTAGAACCATTAAGAGACATACTTTTTTTTACCAAACAAGATTCACCTCTTAATGATTCAGAGTCTGCCTCTTAATGAAACTATTAAGAGGTAAACAAACAACCCCTTACAGTCCGTTTTGACCAAGCTTTTATCAAGAACAAAAGTGCGGATCGACTCGTTTTGACCAAGGTTTTATCAAGAACGAAAGTGCGGGTCGACTCGTTTTGTCTAGGGTTTCCTTAGCTCATCGTCCTTTTAAGATAACAAAAATGTACATAGATTTGTTTTTGTTTATGTTTTTGTTTTTATTTAGTGTAATAATTTTGTTTCCTTTCAAAATCTTATATTTTTTGTATTCACTTTAATCTACTGATTACGTGAATATCTGTTTACAAATTTTCTACAAAAGGGTTATGAATTATGACGAAGGGGTGGGCTCCAATAAGAATAAAAGTTATTGTGAGAAAGATGAAAATGATAAGAAGAGATCTTTACCCTTGGATCACTCGTAATTGAAGAGTTCTACTCGATCAAAACTAATGAGAAGCACCAGCTTAATTCCCTTATAAAGATCAATTTATGAGTTGGTTTGAGATGAAAAGTAATCAAATGTCTAAATCATTTCTTACATTTCTCACCTTAACTTCTATTATCACACGATCCTTCGTCTATGACGGAGATGATTACTTTGAAATCCACGACATCATATATTACAAGATTAACAATTCAACCGTCAAAATGGATATAAAATATAAAATTTTGTTACATTGATTCAAAAAAAAAACCGTTATACAAAAAATGAACGCATCTATGTTATTTTGTCTTAAAGTTGTGACGTATTTTTGTCTTTTAGATACATTAAGATATAAGGTGGGAGGTTCAAACGAGAACATCTATGTTTTATGAAAACGTGAGAACATTTGTGGACTTCCAAATTATTTAATGCAACCATAATTAAAAAAAGAAAATAAAGTAAATAATTAAGGATAATCATGTAATTTCATATTTATCTGTAATCTTGATGACTTTCTTATCCCTAAAACCACAAAATCACATGATAATCACTTTGATTATCTAATATTATCATATTGTTATCACAATAAAATCACATAATTATCGGACCATAATCACATCATAAAAAGTTATCAATTTATCAAAACATTATCACATTATTATTACGGCAAAACCAGATCATTATCACAGCTTTATCGTATCATTATCGGTGATACTAGCAACATTTAAGGGACAAAAACAAATCTAAGGGGCCGTTTACCTAAATGCTTACCCGGTAAGCGCTTCCCGTTAAGAATCAACACTATGATTTATTTTATCGGGTAAGATTATAGTACATCAAAACGTATCTTATGCAACAATTTACCTGGTAAGCGTTTACCCGGGTAAGAGTCGTCACTCTCACTTACCGGGTAAAACTCTTCATTATTATCATCAGTTTTATCGGGTAAGATTATTTCCCCTTGTCATGTTCATCCGGTAAGGGAAATTGTCCAGTAAGTACTTACCGGGTAAGCGTTTAGTAAACGGCCCCTAAGATATCATAAAATTGTGCATTTTAATTTTTATCATATAGTTTAGAGGTCCATGATTATTCTCCTGTTTTCGTAAAACAAAGGGCATTCTCATTTAACTCTTTCCAAGATATAAACACCCTTCTATAAATATAAATGCATCTAATCTATGCTATTTGTAGGAAAGTTTTCATGGTAGGTATATTTATACAAATCACACTTAATTAAACACTTATTTGGTAAGTGCTTATCGGATAAATTTTCTCATCGGATGAATATGAGAAGAACCAAGAATCTTACCGGATAAAAGCGATGAGAATGATGGAGAGTCTAACCGAGTCAGTGAGGATGACGAATCTTACCCAGTAAATTGTTGCATTCAATATGTTTTGATGTACTAAATTCTTACGCATCAAAATAAATTATAGTGTTGATTCATATCAATAAGCGCTTACCGGATAAACATTTGGGTAAACGGTCCCTTAGTGAACTAAAGGGATTTTTATATATTGTTAAATGCATACATACCTACTAATTTCTTCTTCGTCAATATCAAAACTTATTTTTTACATTTTTAATATATGATTTGACCTGATTTTAACTAAAAGAAGATACATATAATATTACCTTTTACTTTAATTGTTTTGCCATCTGAATAATGATTTTTCTTCCATTATTTTCCTTACAAATAACCTAACTTGAAGCAATATAATACGTAAATCGAGTTACAAAACCTTCAAATGTAGGTGTTGAGTTGAAGTTGGTTTAGGATCGTTTTAATCCCCTAACCCGATGAACCCGATATCTTTATATTTCTTGACTTAAAACTTTATTCATCGAGGACTTGATGGAAAACCAACCAAACATAATGTTATGGAGTTGCATATTTATTTACAGACATAATGTTATTGTTACACGCTTAACTTCTTTGATAGAATTTGAATGTTTCTTTCTGAGTTTACGTTAATGTTGTTGTTCCATTGAGCGGTTGTTGCAAAATATGTGGTGGCGACACATTTTGCTAAAGATTGTCCAGATTAAGGCATTAGAAATTCCGGCATGTACATTGAATCCAAGATTTATTCACCAGTCGGAAAGAATTGTAGCCTATTTTGGAGTTATTGGTTTGATATCATATTTGATTCGATACTTGAATGTGTTATTCTGGATGATAGCAACTGGAATTGAATCTATGGCGAGAGGGAAAATGGTTAAGTTTGTGGGCTGAAATTAAAACTTCAAATCCTTTTGTTGATGCAATTTTGAACTCTTTAAATTTGTGTTTTTTTTTTTATCTTCCAAAACAAACGATCGCTGCTATGAAGCATCATATAACCCTTTTCGGTTGTATGTGTCATCTCAATTGTGTTTCTTGATTAATAACAAGTCTTCTTTTTCAAAGATGGTAAGCATTGTAGATTGTATTCCTTAAATGCTACGATCATTGTCAAATGTAAAAAACCTTTTTTCACTTTCAATTTTAGCTGGTAGAATTGCATTTTTATTTTAAATTTGATAAGCTACTAAGTTGTGGTAAATTTTTCTCTTCAATTTACATCTCGTCGCATTACGCGGGTACACAACTAGTTAAAATATTCGCGCTCTCTCTCTCTCAAACGTTTAATTTTATGGATTCTCATTGTTAGAAAGAATAAAAAATCATTTATTTTTCCTAAATAACAGTTTTTGAAGATTTTAGAGATTTTCATCATCTCTCTCTGACTTTCTCCATTTTGGAGAAAGTTTTGGGAAATCAGTTGGAGATTCTTTGATAAAATAGAATTTAATCCAACAAAGTAAATGATAGTGTTAAATTTTATTAGTAATGTTTACTGAATAAATGTTTCATTAAAGTAGACGGATTGGTTTTTTCATAACTTTTCCTAGACATTATTTAGTGGGTGTTTGAGATTGTTTATTTGAAACAACTTATGTTTTTCTATAAAAACACTTATCAACTCATTATAAGTCAGAAGGGTTTAACTTCTTCAAAAACTTCTTATTACCGGTTTGTTACCGGTATAAGTTGTTTATCCAAACACTCAAAAATGCTTATTACCGATGTCACACCAAAATAAATCAATAAGTTGTTTTTATAAGCATTTCTAAACACCCCTTAATACAAAAACGAATTAGAAAAAGTTCATAAATTTATTTTGAGAAAAAAAAGGATTTATTTTCAAATAAAACAAAAATTAAAGTAGTTGTGAAAATAGAGAGTGAAAGAGTCAAAATACGTGAGCCCAAAAGTCCAAAAGCTAATCACGTTCATTTTGCTGTCCCATAAAACTCAGTAAACGTCGTCACTTCATCCATATCTTACTTTCACTCACTACCAAAATAGAGGCGGTCACCGACTAAGTTTGATCCGTGGATGAATATGGCCGGAAAATTGATGCAGGCGGTTTGGTACACTTCTTACGGCGGAGGTGCCGCCGGTTTGAAGGTAATACGATCAATCAGATTTCAAACAGATCGTTTTTCGTTCTACTGTTGCGTTTTCTAATTTATTTGGTGAATCTGTGCGATATGTTTGTGTTTTTTGTCTTGCTTTTATATGGTGTCAAACCCTAACTTTGATCCGGATTCCTTAGTTGATAGGTTAATTATAAAGATATTGTGATTTTGAAGTTATATGAGTTGACTTGAAGTTTTGATTTCTTAGTATTTTTTTTCTCTTGTGGACTTATTTGATTTCCATGATTCTGTTATTTTCTGGATTTGATTGTGTAGGTTTTAGTTTTGTTAGATCGACGATTGTACCTTGTAGTTTTCCATTATCAAATGATCTTGGAAGAATTTCATCATGTTGGGAAAGATGTTAAAAATATGATCAGACTGCTGATATTTAGATGCAGTGATGGACTTACCACTAGTGTGTCTTCTAACATGACGATCATCTACTAGAAACACATAAATTTGGAAGTTCTAAAAAGATATGTGGTAGATTTAGGAGAAACATAATTCAGTTAAATATGGTAGATGCAAACCGGATACAAGAGATTATTTGACATTATAATTTGCCTATTTAGAAAGCACCAATTGATTTTTGTGGACTTATTTTCTAAAATGATGCATGATATACAATAAATGATACTATATCCATATCTTCTGCAGCATGTTGAGATCCCTGTTCCTACTCCTGGAAATGATGAGATCCTGCTGAAAATTGAAGCAGCAAGTATAAATCCAATCGACTACAAAATTCAGAAAGGCATGGTACGCCCTATTATGCCCAAGAAATTTCCTTTTATACCAGGTAAGTTACATACTTTCATGAGAACTACCATTTACTCTATGCTACTTTTTGGGATTTTAGACTTGTCAATGTGTTAGTTTGCAAATTGCGCCAGAAAGGAAAGAGTCACTCCTCGTTTGGTCTCGCTACTCTTGCTTCAAGTAGGCATTTTGTTATCCCGTCTCTGCTCAGAGATCAAGGAATTTGGTGAACCGTGTTCATCTTGACAAGTATGGAAGGATCATCAAATTGATTTGATATAGCTTGAGGATATATCAACTAATTACTAAAATAACCAATAGTTGTGATGTATAATGCGTGGGAAGATTTCTCCAAGAGCTTCTATGGTTTACCATTTCAAGTCAGCTGGCTTTTCTCAATTTGAGATGAAGTCTAGCTACTTATCTGGTTATAATCCTGTTGCATTAGTTGTCCATGAACAAATTACACTTCTATGAAATATATATAATCCTGAAAACACAGTTTACAAAATGAAAAAACAGTCTTATTGATTTTGCTCTCAAACTTCAGCATCACCTCTTATCGATAAGAAGAGATATAAGACTTAAGAGTTCAACACCTCTTAAAAAACAAATATCATCTTACTTAAAGTCCTCGCTAATGCCCTATTGAATAGGTTGAGTTATAGGGAGATTGACCTTGCAAAAAGGCTAAATAATTGGTCTATAGACAAGGGGAAAGGAGAGTGATTTCATTATTGCTTGGGTGGTCCCTTTTTTTCTCTTTATGTAATATATAACACATATTACGTATATATGCCTATGCATAACGCCATAACCATATATGTTTGTTGGAACAGTTGGTGATGTAGCCGGAGAAGTTGTGGAGGTTGGACCTGGAGTGAAGAATTTTAAAGCTGGTGATAAAGTTGTTTCCACCCTTGTGAGTACCCCTATCTTTGTTCTTTCCAATTTTGTTTTCCTATGGTTCTTGTGACTTGCTTTCTGTTTCGTTATTAATTAGAGGTCCGGAACTAGCGGTAATACCAATCATGGTGGATGATTAGAAGTGGTTATATCTGTATCCGTTTTTCATGTGGAACCATAGAAGAAATTCACTCGCTACTAAGGCCATATATGGCATCCATAAAAACTAGATATTGAAGAAGTGCGGTATTGTTAGGCATAAGCTAGTTTTTGAAAAAAACCCACTTCAAGTAGCATTTCAATAGGGAATTTTTTTTTTCTTTTTCTAATTATGGCGCTTTTTTTTCCAATTAATTTTTCAAAATGTTCTTCTAGTGTGTTTGGTACAGGGGATAGGACGGAATAGAACAATACAAAAACTTGTTGTCCCACGTTTGGGGTGACGTTAGGCTGGGACAAAAAGTTGGAGCGAAACAGCATATTTTTACCGCCAAAATAGGTGGACAAGAAATAGTGAAGAAAGGGACAAGATTGGTAAATTACTAAGCTACACATGTTAAGTTAAAACTTTAAAACCTTACACAATTTCTTCACATGCCTACCTCACTCTCGTCAGCCTACCAAACACATAGGTTTTTTCACATTGTCCTCTAATTTATTAGCTACTTTATTTATTTATCAAACATGACTAATTTATCAGCTGGTTATCTTCTAGTTTTGCTAAACATGGCCTAATGCATCTATTTGTGTATGCAACAATGACACAAGAAGTTCGTATCTTTGAATGCAACTTTTCATAACGTTAGTTTTAGTTATATGTACCGAAGAAACTACTGAAGTTCCAACCTTTTTGGATGGCAGGGGGGTGCAGGCGGAGGACTAGCCGAGTACACCGTGGCTAAGGAGAGCTCCACAGTGTCAAGACCACCAGAAGTCTCAGCTGCCGATGGTGCCAGTCTAGTTGTTGCAGGGTGCACTGCTCTCCACGCCCTTACCACAAGCTGTGGGCTGAAGCTGGAGAAGACTGAACCATGCACCAACGTTCTTGTAACCGCCGCTTCAGGCGGGGTCGGTCACTATGCCGTGCAACTCGCGAAACTCGGCAACACCCACGTCACTGCAACGTGTGGGGCCCGGAACATTGAATTTGTCAAAAGCTTAGGAGCCGATGAGGTTCTCGACTACAAGACGCCGGAAGGAGCCGCCCTCAAAAGCCCGTCAGGTAAGAAGTACGATGCTGTGATCGATTGCACCACTGGTATCCCGTGGTCGACATTCGAGCCCAACCTGAGCCCAACCGGGAAAGTAATCGATATAACCCCTAGCGGCGGTACGTTCTGGCACTATGCCGTGAACACAATCACGTTCTCGAAGAAAAAAATTCAGCCGTTGATCGTCATCCCAAAAGCGGAGGAGATGGAGTGCCTTGTGAAGTTGGTGAAAGAAGGGAAACTAAAAACGGTGATCGATTCTAGATATCCATTAAGTAAGGCGGAAGAGGCGTGGGCCAAGAGTATTGAAGGGCATGCTACCGGGAAGGTGGTCGTGGAGCCGTGAACTTCGATAGGTTGGTGTTATGTATCTGATGGTAGTTGAAAACCAGATACTGGTTTCGACTTTCGAGTGAGATATATTGTGTACTTTAAAATACCCGAGTGGGGTATACTTTGTACATGTAAATGTTGAGGACTTCAACTTATGTTTGCAAAACATGTACAAGTTTATGTTTGATTATGACATGTGCATGAACTGTAGGAAGTTTACAAATAACTTTTATGATGTTTTCCCCTTGCCATTTAAACAAATTATATACAAAAAATGAGGGAGGATTAAAAGAGAAAATTGTCAGAATACGATAACAATTAAATTATATCTGATTAGAGTGTTTGTGGTGTGGTTACGGTTTGAGCATTTTCTTAAACCGTATCGTACCGTATATATTTCACTACAAAATATGGTGCAGTGTGATTTACACCATTTATATCTAACGCACTTAAAATTAATTATTATTATTAAATATATGTAATATTAAAATTAATTATTATTAAATATATGTAATACAATATATATATATATAGAGAGAGAGAGAAAGAGAATGAATGTGCGGTACGGTTTTAACTGCAGTTTGATAATTTAAAACTGCATATATGGTTTGGTAAAAATGCAAACTACAAACTGCACCGCAAAAGTTATAAACTGTGCATTGCAGTGCGGTGTGTGTGGTTCGGGTGGCTTGGCGGTTTGGATGAACAACCCTACATGTGATTTTGGAACATGGTCAATGCAAGGTGTGTGGGCGACTTGGCCTTTGACTTAGGTCGTGGCCAAGGTAGTGCATAACCATATGCAAGTTTAGTGTAAAATCACATGTGATTTGACTGTTATCATGTACTCTTATCTAGTCACTATTCTTGTTTGAACCCCTATTCTACACAAAATACTATCCATTAGTTATGTATTCTTGTGAAAACATTTATTAATAATTTACACAATTAAGGATAAAAAGTGTAACAAAATTTGGTTTAGTTTCCGACTTTCTATATAATAAGATAACGAATATTTTTTGTTTTTTCAATCGAAGTAACTAAATTTTCAATCTTGTATTTATTTTGAACAGTCGCTTTCCGATCTTGTAACATTAAGCTAAATATAAATATTAAATCTTATCAATAAACACTTATCGAATAAGGGTGGTGCCTGATTGGTTTGAGTTTGGCTCCAAATATCAAAAGCACCAGGAGGTCTCAGGTTCAAATACAAGGAGGAATAAAAATCTTCTTGTGGCAACGGAGGTTCAAATGCGGTGACTTCGTGCTATCTGCAAAATAGATGGTCGTCCTAAGATTAGTCGTCTCGCATAGCGGGTTGGATATCTAGATTAATAAAGAAAATGAAAATGAATTTAAAGGTATACGTTCCTGTTTTAAGGATGTGCCATTATCTTAAACAAATCAAAATAAGGTTAGGTAAAAAGTAGTCATTATCCATCTTCATTTAATATTTTCATCCCCCATAATTAGATAATTTCGGATTTATTCTAAATTATTAAAGTTTAAGTTTATAAATAAATTGTGTATAAATATAACTTATTAAACTTTTATGTTTGAATTCGTGTAACTAAGTGCAGATAAACATAATTAAATTAAATACAAGATAAACATCTTATCTTAAATATAAAAAATCTAATATGTAATAAAGATAATCATTGAGTTCTAATAGAATACCTAATGATTTATTTATATAAAAATTATATTATTAAACTAAAAATAAATTATTTTATTATTGAACTTAAATTAAATTATAAAAAAAATTGAATTAAAGGAATTACACAAAAAAAAAGAACTTTTAATAGTTAATTTGATACAAATATTGATTTATTTTTTCAAAAATTTTAAAATATATTCAAATTTATATTTTATTTAAAGATAACAACATTATCATTTTTTCAAAACCACATAAAATCGTATTATAACATCGATAGAGACAAATAATAAAATGAAACACTAAAATCGAGATGTATCTCGCTGCATTGCGTGAATACCCCACCAGTATTTTCTAATATCCCATAACATCACTCAAAGTTTAACATGTATATCTTTCAGTTCATACTAAAAAAAAAAGTTACTAATAAATATCGATTGAACATATACTCGAGATCCCGTTAAGATCTTTCCAAGTCCGCTACTACAGGCCTTTACATATATATGTGACATATTTTATTACGGTTGTTTTATCCAAATTTTGAGAGCCTTTTTGCGAATCTCTTTCACGAAATTAAAGAAATTTTAAAGTATTTTCATCATCTTTAATCATTCAAACAATCATCCTAAAAAGGATTCAAGTCTTGATATTAATATTGATTTAACACTATTATGTCCATCAAAACGACATCGTATGCAACAATTTACGCCGGTAAGTGTTTACTGTGGTAAGAGTCGTCGTCCTCACTTACCCGGTAAGACTCTTGGTCCTTATCTCGCTCTTACCGGGTAAAATTCTTGATTCTTATTATATTTATCCGGTAAGGTAATGTGACTTAGTAAACGCTTACCCAGTTAAGCGTTTGGTAAACGGCCCCTAACTTGATGAACTGAAGTATTGTGTGAGAATAATAGTTAAGGTTTGAAGCGTGAGAATAGATCTGGACTTTTGATCAACTTTAATCTTTAACATATCCATGAATTTTGTTTAATATGGAGATTGATCTGGTGTATCTCATGCTAATATGCACCCAAGGGTGATGATCCCTTCTTAAGTTTCTCGCTAAAATCCAATCTCACAGTTTTGTACCCGAATATTTGATTCGTACTCTTTTGATTTCTACATAATTCATGTTTATAAATTTCTATAGAGTAAACTACAAATTTGGTCCCCATGATTTGTCAAGAATAATATTTTTCGTCTCTACAGTTTTAAAATTACAAGATGTCCACTGTAGTTTGTAAAAACGTTCGGATTTGGTCTCTCCCTGTAAAAAAACAACACAAACCAAATCATAAAATCGATTTTGATCAGATAAAAGACAAAAAATGAAGAAAATGACAAAAATGCCCCTTATTTACCAAAATTCTTTAACAATCATTAGATAGAGAAATCACATATGCACGTTTTTACAAACGACGATAACAATCTTAATTTTGAAATCACAAAAAGGAATAAATATTATTTTTAGAAACTAATTGAAAAATATAATTAAATAAACAAGTATTTTCTAAAATAATTCTAACAAAACAAAATCCAAAGCTTTTTGCCTACTTGTACCTGTTCCACTAAATAAATGCATAATTCTCTTTATTTAATTTTTTATTTATATAAAATAAATTTTAAATTAAAAATGTATGCCTGATAAATATTAAATTAATTATGACGTTTATACCTTAAATAAACAATTAATAAATTTGATCTACCAGGTTTACGTGCCATTAAAATCAATAATTTATGAATAAAGTCAATAGTCAATATATATATATTTTTTGAAGAAATATTTATTTCCAAAAAGATACAACACATCATCGTTTAAAACATAGACGGACCTAGAGGGGTGGTTAGGTGGCACGTGCCACCATATTGTTCTCCCGTGATAAGGTAAAAAAAGTAGTTTTGTAAAAGGTGCAACTGTTTTATTCTAGAAGATGCAACCGTTTTATATGGTGTCATCGTATCAAAAAAAAAAAAATTGGGTCCGTCCCTGGTTTAAAAGTGAGTATATGAATAATTAAAGAATATAATTTTAAACATTCACATAAACAAATTATTAATAGATTTTTTTTTAAATATATAATATTTATATACAGCAAATACAACAAATGAGCTCACACACTGCTAAGCTCTGACCTCCTAAGATGCCAAAGACTATGTACCGCTAAGACAAAGGCCCTTTGGCAATTATTAACAGAAGTTATTGGCAACTTTTACACGAATTTCAAGTGGAAGATTACACGTGTTTATGGGTTGAATGAGATTTAAACCGGAAAAATGATATTTTATTTTGAGGGGTCAAATGATTAAAATTAAAGAAGTGAAGCTAAAAATACCACCCGTTTAAAAAGTATTCAAAATCACATGTAATTTTACACTTAAATCATGTATAAAGTCACATTTGATTCACGCGACTTTTGTTGTGACCTGAGGTTGCATGCCACATCGCCCAACATCCTTGTGTTAAGTGTTAATGTAAAAGCACATGTAATTTAGCACGTGTTTTCATGTTCTTTTATTTGGTTACCATTCTTGTTTGAATCTCATTATAATTAATAAACACGAATAGGGATCCAACCAATCGAATTTGGGTTCGTCCGAATTTTATTCATATAACATAAATTTCTTATGATTTGTAATCCAATTTAAGGACCCATAAGACCGTATCTAATACGTCGAATCCACCAATTTAAGGACATGTACGCTGTATTAATAACTATCATTGAAAACACCACCTTTAAATTGTTCTTGTTTTTATTATCGTTTACAGTTAAAACAACCAAAATGTTGTTCTTAATAGAAATCAGGTCAAAGTTGGTTCATTCGTGCAATTTTCACAATATTTATATATAGTTTTTTTTATCAAATATGCATGGAAGCTTTTTCCATGGCGAAAGGAACCCAAACCTTCCATACTTTAATATCACCATCCAAACTACCACTATACACCGTATACCCACTTCCTTCATCATCATCATCATCATGGTCGCCGGAGCTTTCGGCAGCCATGGCCAAGCACTTCACCGGACCACCGTGACCTTCAAAAACACCCAAACATGAATAGCTTTTTCCCACCGATCTCCGCCATAACCTCACCGTCTTATCAGCAGATCCACTACACACCAATTCCGACACAACTCTCACACACAGAATCGCCTTTTTATGCCCCAAAAGTCCTCCAACCACCACCATATGTCCGCCATCTCCGCCGCCGGAGTTTCTCTCGCTTGCTATCAACACACCGGAACATGCGCCGGAGTATAACACAGATCCATTATTATCGTAATCCAAAGCATTCACTGCCGATTTATGGTGCTCCAGTGAATCGACGAGTTCATGTTTTTTATCTCTTCTATTATTCCTCCATACTTTGATCTTCTTATCTGCTGAGCCTGTGTACACGAATCCGTCGCCGGATACCACGACGGCGTTAATGGCGTCGTCGTGTGCGTTTGAAATCGATTCCAAACACTTGAAATCGGAGCTCCTCCAAACCTTAAAACTCCGATCCCATGAAGCGGAGTAGATCAGAGATCTGTCAATCGACACCGCCAATGAAGACACGGCGTCGATGTGATGAATCCAGGTGAGCTTCTTATGCCGGCGAATTTGAACGTAGTTTTTAGCAAACGGAATTTTGGTTAATCGATCTTTTAGGGTTGGTAAAGTCGTTATGATTTTGAGCTCGTCGATTTTCCATATTCGAATTTTGTGATCTTGGTGGGCAGTGATTAGGGTATTGTCGTTGAGGATTTGCAGAGATTTGACGGCGGAGGTACAGGGAATGGTGATGAATTGATCGCCGACGACGGTGGTGGGGTGGCGGGGCCAGAGGTGGATTTGGGCGTTGAATGAGCCGCTGAAGAGGAGGTTTCCGGCGAGGGTGAGAGAGAGGATATGAGAAGAGTTGGGTTGGAATGTGGAGACGCAGTGGTGGTGGACGGTGGTTGATGGTGGTGGGATGAGGGCGGAGATTGAGGGTGGAATGCTTGATCTGGAGGAGAAGGAAGAATTGAAAGAATCTTGGGAAAACGATTGTGATCGGAAGTTTGATTGGTGGTCATCGGAAAACCACCGGAAAGAACATGAACATGAGACACAATTCATGGTTTTGTGTGGTTTTTGGAGGGGAGGAATATGAAGCTTATAAGGAGAGGGGTGCAAAAGCCTTTCTCTATTAAATAAATAAATAAATAAATAAATAAATATATATATATATATATATATATATATATATATATATAAGGAGAGGGGTGCAAAAGCCTTTCTCTATTAAATAAATAAATAAATAAATAAATATATATATATATATATATATATATATTTCCATTCAAGGGATAACTGATTAGTTTGTAGTAACTATAAGATTCAATCTCAATCATAAATCAACGGATAAATTAGGAAATTAATAATTATGATAGTTTGAGTTAAAATTATAATTAGAGAGCATTTTAGATATTTTTAAAAAACTCCTCTCTCATCTCTCCGACTTCCAATCTCTGGCCTTCGGTGAACATTAATCCGGCAGGTACCAAGTAATCACAAAGATACACAATGTAATACTCATTGTGATATACTGTGATACCAACTATGATACCAACTCAAACCTTAAAAACAAAGATATACAATGTGATACCCATTGTAATACACAATGTGATACCAATTGTAATATACTATGATACCGATTTCACCGGAGATTGGAGGTTGGAGAATGAAAGAGGAGAGAAGAGTTTTTAAAAAATACCTAATATGCCCTCTAATTATAATTTTAAATCAAACTACCATAATTATCAAAATTATTAATTTCCTAATTTATCCGTTGATTTGTGGTTGAGATTGGACCTCACAGTTACCATAAATTATTCAGTTCTCATTTGATTAGGCTTATATATATATATATATATATATATATATATATATATATATATATATATAKAKAKAGAGAGAGAGAGAGAGAGAGAGAGAAAGAGAGAGAGAGAGATGAGTGATCAAATAAAAACCGCCTCGATTTGTGTAAACCGTGTAAATCAATCTCACCCATCCATTTTCTTGATCAATGATTAAGATTAATCAAGGTTATTTAAGGAAATAAAAAATAAAAAAAATTGAAAATACATTTTATAATACCGATAAGGGCAAAAGGGTAAAACCAAATATTCATTTATTCAAAGAAACCATATCATGTATATCATATTATTAATTAAACTAATCTATTTTTTGTAAAGTAATTTATTATTTTTACGTTAATATTTATTATTATTAATGAAACAAATTTATTTTTCATCTTGCAATTATTTAATGACGAACCGCCTACATTATGCACCCGTTTCATTTTTCATTTCATCTACTGAATGGATCACCTACACCATCACTGAAACGAGTTTCACCATGAAAGCAATTCACCACTCATTGTTCAATTACGCCATGAACCAGTTTCACCTTCATGAAACCTGTTTCATGTAAATTATTTTTTTTATTTCACTCATGATTTGATGCATTCTTTCTTTTAATCCTTACAATCTTCAAGATTCTGAAGCATATTACAATTTTCAAGATCCCGAAGCAGATTCATCATGTACCCGTTTCATTATGCAATTATTTCATGACGAACCAAATAAATTATTCACCCGTTTCATGTTCCATTTTTTCTACTAAACGGATCAACTACATCATCATTGAAACATGGTTCACCATGATATGATTTCATATTACTCATGAATCAATTACAACATGACCCAGTTTCACCTTCATGAAACCTGTTTAATGTAAATTAATTTTTTTATTTCACTCATGATTTGATGCATTCTTTCATTTAATCCTTACAATCTTCAAGATTCTGGAATAGATTACAATCTTCAAGATTCCGAAGCAGATTCATCATGTACCCGTTTCATCATGCAATTATTTCATGACGAACCAAATAAATTATGCACCCGTTTTATGTTCCATTTTTCTACTAAACGGATCAACTACGCCATCACTGAAACGTGGTTCACCACGAAACGATTTCATATTACTCATGAAACAATTACAACATGAACCAGTTTCACCTTCATGAAACCTGTTTTATTAACATTTTTTTTTAATTTGAACCATAATTTACTATTTCATTCCATAATGCAATTCAATCTTTAAGACCAGTTTGCAGATTCAATCTCATAACAATATATCAAATACAAATTTTTAATATTATAATATAATTAAATATTTAAATGTTACCATTTATACAATTTCTTTTTTTACGTTTCCTTAATTAAGATTTATTAATAACTTCCATATTTAATAGAAAATATTGTAAATGACCGAAATACCCTTATTGATTAAATTTAATTAAAAAAATAGAATTTTTCTATTGGTCGAAATTGGTTTACAGGGTTTCTTAGAAATGCACGGTTTTCATTTGAACGTGCCCCTATATATATATATATATATATATATATATATATATAGGGAAGAATTCAAACGAGAACACCTTCATTTTATGAGAATGTGAGAACATCTTTTTACTGTGGACAATCATATGTGATACTATTATTCCATCACATATGATACACATGTGATACTAAATCAGAGACGCGGGTGGTTTTCAATGCGATCTTGGTTGCAGGCCAAATCGCCCTTACACTACTAAGCCCCCTCACAAGTATTATCACATGTGATAAGGGTGTTGTTGATATGATACTATAATTCATCAAGACTATCACATGTGATGCTAAATCATAGACACAGACAACCTTTGGTGCGGCCTAAGTCGTAGAACACGTCGTCCGCACATCACAGGGTCCCCCTCACGCGTATTATCACATGTGATTAGGATGTTCTTGCATTCTCATAAAATGGAGGTGTTCTTGTTTGAATCTCCATATATATATATATATATATATATATTGGTTGTACTTTGATACCGCTTGTAAACAAGCTTATTACTATTGATATTTTAACACCAAAATTATTGAAAACCATCAAAAAAGTGAACTCCAATTTTATCAAAAAAAAATGAAATCTCTCCAAATCCAAATCCCTCGAGAATAATCCTGCAAAACAAACGGACCCTTACTTATATTTTGTTTTAGAAACAAAATAATAAATTTTTATTTTTATTTTAATATGAAGAGTTAATTATAAAAATCGGCCCTTGATAGTTTTTCTTTTTGGATTTCATTCCCCATCTTCATTTATTACATATAACTTAGGGTCGTTTACCAATTACTTACAGGGTAAGATATTAGTTCACCAAAATGGTATTGTATGCAACAATTAACATGGTAAGTGCTAACCGTAGTAATAGTCGTCGCTGTCACTTACTGGGTAAGACTCTCAGTCTTTGTCTTACCTATTACTGGATAAGATTCTTGGTCTTTGCAATGTTGATTCGGTAAGGTAATGTAACTTGATAAGCGCTTACCCGGATAAGCGTTTTGTAAACGGCCTCTTAGTGAACATTTACAACAGTTTTGGATATTGTCTCGTTCACCAACACTTGTTAACTTTCAGCCGCTAAATGACCATTTACCTAAATACTTACCCGGTAAGCGCTTACCAGTAAAATTCAACACTATCATTTACTTATCGAGTAAGATTTGAGTCCACCAAAATGACATTGTATTTAATAATTTATCTGGTAAACGCTAATAGTGGTAAGAGTCGTCGTCATCACTTATCGGGTAAGACTCTCGGTCCTTGTCTTTGCTCTTACCGGGTAAGATTTTTGGTCCATGTCATATTCATCCAGTAAGATAATGTGATTTGGTAAGCGCTTACTCAAATAAGCATTTAGTAAATGACCCCTAAATATATAAAAATATTTCTTTTTACCATTTTAGCTTAAAAATATGACATGAAGGTAGTTAACAATGAATTATTGCTATTATTTGACTAATTAGCAATTCAACCATCACCGTCGCACCGCCGATGCTCAGATTCATGTTACGAAAGAAACAGTTACAACAAGAGACGTACAATTGTTCTTCTTCTAGGATGAACAACCCCTTTTCTACTTGTGTCTTTTTTCATGAAGCTCGGTTTCTCGCTCTAAAAAAACGTTTTCAGAAAATTTGCCTCCTTATGTATCTCAATGCGAGACACATAGCATCCAAACCGCCGAAGGAGCAATTTAAATGACAAATTTACCCCTATACGTAATAGAAAACTTAACAGCCATTAGTGTGAAGGACCAATTCCAAAACCAACCGCAAACCATAAGGGGTCGTTTGGTTCATTAATTCAAAGGATTTCAACGGAATTGGAATGGTCAATTCCTTTAACCAAATTCTAATTCGTTTGTTTGGTTCACATATTGAAAATGTAAGAATTCCATTGAATTCCTCGATTAAAGATTTCACCATTCAACGAGATATTCCAAGAGATTCTAATTCCTTTAACAATTCCATTTCAATTCTATCCAACCAAATCGTGCAGTCAAATTCATCAGACTTTATTTTAATTCCACCGAATTCCATACTGCAAACCGAACGTCCCCATGAATGTTTATCTGTGACAAATGAAATTTAGAGATCACGTAAAATAAAAACCGTCAAACACGATGGACGATTTTTGTAATTAAGGGGCTGTTTACCTAAATGCTTACCCCATAAGTGTTTACCATTAGGAGTCAACACTGTAATTTATTTTACCGGATAAAATTGTAGTACATCACAATGGTATCGTATGCAAAAATTTACCCGGTAAACGCTTACCCAGGCAAGAGTTCTCACCCTCACTTACCAAGTAAGACTCTTCATTTTTATCATTGCTCTTACCGGATAACATTTTTGACCTTTGTCATGTTCATGCGGCAAGGAAAATTGCCCGATAAACACTTACCGGATAAACGTTTAATAAACAGCCCCTAACTCTAATATGAATGTAATGTTGATGTTTTCCACTTGTATTGCAATATCAAAATTGCATAATATATATTTATAAATTAATAAAAAATTGAAAGATATTTTCAAGATAACATATTAAATAATAGAAAAGATATAAGATACAAAATCAATCATATTATATATATATATATATATATATCAAATAGTTAATAAAATAACTGATAAATAGGTTATCAAGGTCTGAGTCATCGTTTTTACGACTATTTTATAATCGGGTTTTTAAATTAATCTATGCTTATACTTTTTCTTAATAGAAAAAATATGTATTAACGATTGAGGTAAAAATGATTTTTGTATTTTATCTCAATTAAAAAATATTTAAATATTTAATTAATAATAAATACTCAAAATTCAATTAATTTCTAATTTTTTATTTTTAATGCATGATAGGATAATATTTACAATAAGCCAATATTATAATGTCTGAATGTGGAGGTGGACCAATTATCGATTTTTGTATATTTTTTTTATATTTCGAAATTTTTGTTTATTAAAGAGTAAGATTTTCGTTCAATGGTTCCATTTAGTGCAACCAAATCCAAACCAACATATTAAACAATTCCACATTTTTTATTAAAAAAAAATTCTTATTAGTCTCTTATGTCTGATTCAATAAAAAACATAATTAGTTACGATATTTGTTTTTTAAATTATTTAGTGGTATTTATGTATTACCGTTCTCTTATTTGATAAGAGGTAACCCAACTTCTTATTTACCTCTTATTACTTCTCCATAGGGATGACAATGGGTCAGGTTGGGTTGGGTTCAGATTCAATACATTTATTAAACAGATTGAAAATCTCAACCCAATCCAACTCATTTAATTAAATGGGTTGAGATTTTTCAACCCAACTCAACATGTTACCTAAATGGGTTGACAGTGGGTTAACCTGTTTACGATTTTCTTAACCCAACCTGTTAAATTGTTGGGTTAAACCTGGTTTGACCCATTTAATTTTAAAATTTTAAATAAAAAAAGAAACTAGATATTTTTTTTTTAATAAAACACAACCACAAACAAATACATTGTTCAAAATAAGTTGGTTTGGACTTTGAAGACGATAATGGAGTAATGGACTAAAGGATTTTCCTAGGGTTTTATGATGATTAAGAGTAATGGAGGCGATTGGAATTTGGAGTTTCATCTCATGACGGTAGGATTAAAAATTAGAATACTAGATATAATATTAAGAATAAAATAAAATTATATAATATTTTAAATGAGTTGAAAACAGGTTGAAAACAAGTCGAAAAATTCAACCCAAACCAACCTATTTATTTAAATGGGTTATAAGGATTGACCCATTTATTTGAATGGGTTGAAAATCTCAACCCAACTTGCTAATTTTGGGTTAGGTTCAGGTTGGGTTAGCGGGTTGGGTCATTTTTTGCACCCCTACTTCTCCAGACTCTTAGCAGCAAGCTTTTCTCAATCACCCATCTCAAATCAATTAACCTTAATAGATTATTTATCTCAATCGAATGTTAAATTAGATGGTTTGGTGCTTCTAAATCCTAATATCAGTAATTTAAAGTACGAAATATGTGCCATAAGCCATATTTGAAGTTTGTAGTAATGATGAATAAACAGATAAATTTTTATAATGTATATAAATTCAAGATTATAATATTTTGAAGAGTAAAATATAGACAATTATATAAATTCAGACATCTATCAGTTTACAAAAACAAACAGTGTTATCGAATTTGCTTTTAGACTTCAATTAACACCTCTTGTCAATCAAAAGTGAAATAAAGCTTCAGATTTCAGTAATAACAAACAACGTAGTCATCAATAGATTGCATATTAACCATTACTTTTTTCTTAATATAACTTAAAGAGTAAATTTTGTTTTTTGTCCCTTTGATTTGTTAATAGTTGCAATTTTGTCTCTATAGTTTAATAATTACAATTTTTGTCCCTATGACTTGTAATTTATTGTTATTTTTGTCCTTATGATTTACTATAATTTGTTATTGTTATGATCTCATTGGGTTACTGTTTTCATCCCCTATATTTGAATATAGAATTGGTTTAGTGATGAAAATAGTAATAAAATGCAAATTATAGGAACAAAAATCACAATTTCTAAACTACAGGAATGAAAATATAAATTATTAACAAAGCAAAAAAGAGAAATAAAAAACATAATTTACTCAATAATTTATTAAATGGGGATGAAAATGACATGCAATAAATTTTTATTTCTCAAATTTAACTTCGAATAAAAATTTAACTTTTGAGAGAATGAACACATTATATTATATTAGAAATGTACTCGTGTAATGCAGCGTGATACATCTTGATTTTAATATTTCGTTTTATTATGTCTCATGTCAATATTATAATACGGTTTTATGTGGTTTTGAGAAAAACGATAATGTTTTTATTTTAGAATAAAATATAAATTTGAAGATATCTTTAAAGTTTTAAAAAAATATATCGATATTAGTATTAAATTAACTATTTAAAAGTTTTTGTTTTGTTATGAAGTTTCTTTAATTTAATTTTTTATTATAATTTAATTTAGGTTTAATAGCGAAGTAATTTATTTTTGATTTAATAATATAATATTTTATAAAGATATTAATTAAGTATTCTATTATATCACATTGATTATCCTAATTATATTTTAGATTTTTTTAAAATGAAATATTTATCCAATATTTGATTGTGTTTATCTATAATTAATTATACGAATTCAAGCATAAAGCTTTAAGAGATTTATAGAAGTTTGCATTTATGCATCTCCTTTTAGTAAAACCCCACTCTGCATTTATTCACATAACATAAATTAAAATGTTGGTACTTGACATATCTATATTATATTATAAATCATTTGACAAAAAAATTTAAAAATAAATTTCTATTCATGAAGTACTGTTTATTGATGCATATTACTTAAAATTCAAGATTACAAGTAAATTGTGCGTAAATACAACTTATTAAAGTTTTATGTTTGAATTTATATAACTAACTGCACATAAATATAATCAAATAAAAAGATAAATATCTCATTTTAAATACAAAAAAATCTAAAATATATTTAGAATAATCATTGACTTCTAACAAAATACTTGATTATTATATCTTTATAAAAAATTATATTATAAAACCTAAATTAAATTATTTCGTTCAGTTAAATTAAATTATAATAAAAAAATTGAATTAAAGAAATAACATAAAACAATAACTTTTAAATAGTTAATTTGACATTAATATCGATGTATTTTCAAGTTTTTATGATATTTCCAAATTTATATTTTATTTAAAAATAAAAACATTGTCGTTTTCTCAAAAACCACATAAACCGTATTATATCGACATAGATTAAGAATAAAACGAAACTTTGAAATCGAGATGTGTCTTAATACATTGCACGAATACCATTCTAGTTATACATAATATCAAATCATCCTTAAGAAATCAAAGCTACAAAGCCCATGTGCCTATACAAATTTTGCTTCAAATCACAAACATTCTATATTCAAGCATTTTATCAAACAGTTGGTGTTCATGAAAAAACAGATGATATCATCGACATAAGGAGAGCTTCATATAACTCATCTATAGCCATAGCCAATATATCGCATGTTCGATGGCCACAAAAGGATCAGCTTCTGCATTTGAACAGCGAATTTCTTCTCACCATCGGGATTTGCTTCTTAAAACTAGTAATCAAGAGATTTTAAGACTTGTGCTTTAAACACTAGTACTTAATGCATTAGATTTTGTTTTCAATGCTTTGTTGGTTATGCTTTATAAGCAATTAGTTGTGTACCCATGCAATGTGGCTGGAGCCGTGAATTTTAACGATTTTAAAGTTCCATTAGTTTTATTATAAAATATTCAACTATGATATAAGTTGCACTTGGTCTTTACATCATAGTAATACAATTTGAATAAATAAGAGTTATGGTTCCAATTACATGTTATCGATGAAAAAATTTGTATGATAGTTTAAAATCCAACATATTTAAATGACTCTAACAAATATGTTCGATTTACACCAAGAGCAAAAAATCAAGAGATCGAGAGCGAGACTGAGAGTTCTAGAGCAATTGAATGAGATAACTTTTAATAACTCATGGTGAATATCAGTTTGAATCTCACATTGGGGGATGTGGAGAAGACATAGACGTATGAGAAGGTGAAAACATGAATGAAATGTGGCAAAAGTATATTGGAAACATGAAAAGAGAAAGTAATTATGCAAATTGATAACTTGTACTATATGTTATTTTAATTGAATTAAGAAATTTTAAGATTGAATGCATAAAGTAGTAGTACTTAATGCATTATGAGTTGTTTTTAAGACTTTGTACATAAATGTATAGTCCTTTGTACATTAAAAATTGTTTTTTTAAAACTTTCGATAAATCTGGTTTATAAGATAATATAGATATAGATTATAACTCATTTATTAGCATAGAAAACCACACACATTTACCCTTACAATTTGCTCCATTCCCATAAAATAACAACACAAATACTTCCAATCTTCCATTAGAATTGCTTTCTTTCTTGAAATCCTTCATCTCTTTTGCACCCATTCATCTAAAAACATCAAGAAAAACTGTAGAATTTTGGATCAGATATCATCTTCCCAAATTACTACAAACAATAGCTCGGAATCGTCTGCAAAAACTGCGATCTTGCCGCAGGATCGTCCGAAAACCGACCCAAAACCGCAATCGTGGCCGTATTACTTCCGCATTTCTCGATTCCTCTAGCGATCATACAAGTGTGATCCGCTTCCACCACCACCATCACATCTCCACCCAACAATGGTGAAACAGTTTCTGCAATCTGCCTGCTCAGTCTTTCTTGAACTTGAAGTTTGAAGCCATGAAAATGTACGATCGATTGCAAAAGAGTTTTCGATATCGAATTCACTTCTTCGCCCAAAATGTATCCGATATGAACGACCCCATAAAACGGAAGTAAATGGTGTTCACAGAGCGACCATAACGATAAGTTATTTTCCGATCTAACATGTTCTTTATAATTTATGCGCCCAACGGTTGTTTTCAAAGGAATGCTGGAAAACCCGTTGAGTTTCATCTCCAAGTTTGAATCTTTGAAGTTCATGAGCCAGTTTACATACCGATTTGGAGTTGCCGTGAGTTCTATTCTACACGGGTCTTGACCTAATGACTGTATAATCGAAGCCACGGCACTAGTCATGGTCGAATTAGGTCCGAGTCCAAGTCTAGAGTGAGACTGGGACGGGCACCAAGAATCTTGAACGGTGGTTCTTGCATGGATATTATCTAAACTTACGTCTTTACATCTTAAAAGACCGAAAAAGTCTAGCCAAGAGGCGGAATCGTCTTTTTCGAAAGATCCCGAGCCAGAACCGACTACGACCTTCACCCATCTCTCGTGATTCGAGTCAAGAAAAACGTGTTCGAAATTGGGGAAGTGAACGTGCGAGCACTCAAGAACGACGGCGACACCCGTCGGCTCGATTCCATGTTCTAAAGCGAAACAGATCTCGTCAGCTAACCGTTGTGGATCTTGGAGCCGTTTGGCAAAGATATCAGCCACCCGAGATAGCTTGCTGAGGCCCACAACTCGTTGACCAGACGGGATATAACCTACGTGACATTTGACCTGAAAAGGGAGCAAACAAGACTCACAAAACGAGAAGAGATTGAGGTCTCTAACAAGAACGAGTCCACCGGCTCCTCCAGCTTGCCCTTTTCCATGTTCGACTCCCACTTCTGGGAATAATGCATCTTGGACTATCTCTTTCACATTTTGTTTGTAGCCTGGATACGATTAGAACAAACGGAAAAAGCCATTAGAAATGGTTATCAGCCAACAGTTAGCTTATCAAACAGTATGCAAAACATAACCAAAACGCCTAAACGACAATATGCCATCAAACTCCATGCTTCTATACACAAAAGCCTCTTAAGCGTCCAAAGACAAAAGGTTTCCAAAATGTCGAACTTTGTTAGCAGCTTAATAAGACTCGCAACTTATTTTGTCAACTATAAATGACTGCATGGTAATGGATTAATGATATAGAAAGTGACTTATTCAGTAAGCTTTTAAGGTAGAGTTTTATGCAAAAAACCAAGTTTTTTATCCCTCCCAATTAAAAAGAACGTTTATTCCATCAATGAAAAACCCTCCCAAACAAAAACCTTCACAATTTATACAGACAATTTTATCTATATTGGACTTAATGGAAAACCAACCAAACAGCCCCTAACACGCCCCCTCCATTAGTCCCCTCCAATAGAGGCTAAACAATCACAGATTGTGCCAAAGTATCTAGAGGAAAATCGCCCCAGGGTGACTAGTCCCTCAAATGATAGACCTTGGCTATGATACCATGTAAGTTTTTGCAGGTAAGACGAACCTTGACGTGTTCCATTGGAAATTCTATTACCATGTGAGAATGTGTGAAATTCTACTGGATGACTCTCCAAAAAGATCCCTGAGGTTCCAACATATATCGAGAAGAAATGGTCCAAGTCCATGCAGTCATGGGACTCTTTAACAACTACAACAAACATCAAGAACCAAACAACCCTACAAATTATAGCCTTTACAGTAAACATATATCGACACATCCTTTTGTATGTATACTTTCATATGCTAAAGGGAAACTGGCATATAACAGAACTCAAAACCTCAGCCAAATCATGAGCTTCACGTAACCTCACAAATAGGCAAAACTGATACAACCACAGAAACAGCAGAAAATAGTGACAACTCGTTACACATGGGTAGAAAACTAGATTTCCAAGCTCACTACAAGCTCAAAGTTGTGTGCTACCAATAACTTACATCATGGTTGGTTTTAAGTTGATTTGGAGGTTATTCTACCTAGAATAGTTGAGAGAAAGAGGGGGAGAAGAACTAACCTCTGGTTCCTTCACGAAAGGCCTTAGCAACACGAAGAGGGGTCTTTCTAAGACCTTCTCTATTGATGTCTTCACCCAAACCCTGCAACAAAAGCTTGACTGCATCTACAATGGCGATAGTCTCTGGTTCTTGCTCCAAACCACCAAGTTTCACTCCATTTTCTAACACCACATTGTAATGACCTTCATCTAAAGCTCCCATTGAACAGAACCCTAAAACCCAAATCGAATCCTTCCCTTCTTTTGCCAATCAATTAAGAAACTGAATGTTCGATTGAAAAAAAAAAACCCAAATTAGGCAAAATCCCAGATCGAAATATCTCCAATGAAATCAGAAACAATCGGGAATTCTAACACACACCCAGAACGATTGTTAGAACGACAAATAAAATCCCAGAAGGGATCAAAGAAAGGTAGCCACTGGTTGGAGATATGGCAAGTTGGAGAGAAAGAAGAGGGAGTAAGATGGATGTGTGTGTTGTGTCTGAAATTTGTTTGAATTTATAGAGATGAAGGGTATGCCGTATACCATTGATTTTGGAATGGTCTTGTTCGATTAGTAAATTGATAACTTAGATCCAATCCTAACCTTGGATCTTGTAAGTCGTTGGTGAATTAGGGTTATCGGCGGTTGGGGCTTATTATTATTATTTTTTTCTTTCTTTTTTCTAGGGGTGTTTGAGATTCCTTATAAAAGATATTTTTTAATTTATTTTAGTCTTATATCGATGATAAGCTGTTTTTTGGTGTTTGGATAAAGAAAAAAACACTGCTTATACCGGTGTCAAACCGGTAATAAGTTGTTTTTGATAAGTTAATTTTTCCTGACTTATGAAAAACTGTTTATTACCAGTTTACAATTTTAACCATGTTTTATTTAACTCCGATTTGATACCACATAAGTTAATAAACACTTTTATAAAAAAACATAAGCTGTTTTAAATAAGCAATCCCAAACACCCCCTTAATTAACCCGTATATTCAATGCCCTCTCGATAAGGCAACTAATCCCATGGCAGTCACTCGTCTTACGGATAGTCCGGAGTCATCGTATTTGAATCGTGGCTTCGAGAGGATTTTATTCTTTTTTGGATTTGATTATGAGACCTTCTGACATTTTTAATCTTCAGAGTTTAAACGCAAACCAATCAAATATTATCCTTGTGGTTTAGGTCTTTTTCCAAGTAGGACCTTTCGGCTGCAAGATCTGGGTCGCCAAGCCATCGTTTTCATCCTCTTTACATATAAATATTAAGAGTTTATACCTGTGGAATCTATATATATGTATATATATATATATGTGTGTGTATATATATATATATATATATATGCAAATAAGGTACAGAGATAGAGGCTAGAGGAGGTTGGTGGACATTAGCATCTGCTATTTTTAAAAAATTGTTATTGTAATTGCTTCGTTGTTGTATTTGTATTTTTTTTAAGACTAAAAATACTATAAAAGTTTGAGATGACCGGCTAAATTAAGAAGTCTAATTAAAAGACTTCTTTTGGATTAAAAGATAGCTAATCATGACATCTATTTAAGAAAGAACTGACTAATTTGTGGTAATCGTGAGATAAAATCTTAATCACAAATCAATAGATAAATTAGGAAATTTATAATTTTGGTAATTTTTAATTGAAATTTTAATGCAAGAATATTTTAGATATTTTCTCTCATCTCTCCTCTATTCTTTCTTCATCCCCCGTCCTTCGGTGATATCACTGTGATACCTAAAATTATTGACTCTGTTAAACAAAATACACAATGTGATACCCAAGCATATATAAGATGCATTGTGATACCACTGTGTTACATCTCCGATCGACCACACATACGACATCAGTGTGATACCCAAGCACATATAAGATGCATTGTGGTATCACTGAAGGACGGAGAGAGGAGATTTTTAAAATATCTAAAATGTCCTTGCATTAAAATTTTAATTCAAAATTACCAAAATTTAAATTTTCTAATTTATCTATTGATTTGTGGTTGAGATTGTATCTCACGGTTACCACAAATTAATTAGTTCTCATTTGATTAGGCATATATATATATATATATATATATATATATATACACTATCTTATAAAGCATTTGGCTAAAACTCTTAATACTTCTTAAACCCGTTCATCCCTATCCGATTTCATCCCATATCTGAATTTGTGTAACTAACTGCAGATAAACACAATCAAATACAGGATAAACATCTCATT